GGACCAATCCGAGCAATAATCTTCAGGAGCTGCTGGGAAAGGGGTTTATCAGACTGAGTAGCTCACCTTGGGGAGCGCTGATCCTTTTTGTCAAAAAGAATGATGGTTCACACCGGATGTGTATTGATTAATGGGAGTTGAACAAGTTAACGGTCAAGAACCGTTATCCGTTACCAAGGATCGACGTTATGTAAGATTAATTGCAGGGAGCGTCTTGGTTCTCCAAAATAGACTTGAGGTCGGATATCACCAAATGAGGGTTCGGGAGGAAGATATCCAAAAGACAACATTCATGACTCGTTACGGACATTACGAGTTCGTGGTGATGCCTTTTGGGCTCACCAATGCACCAGCAGCGTTCATGGATCTCATGAACAGGGTGTGCAGGTCAATGTTGGATCGTTCGGTGATCGTATTCATCGATGATATCTTGGTGTATTCGAGATCCAAATAGCAGCATGAGGAGCATTTGAGGGAGATCCTCAGAGTTCTGAGATCGGAGAGGCTTTACACCAAATTCTCCAAGTGTGATTTTTGGTTACGGGAGGTCCAGTTCCTAGGGCACCTCATTAACCAGAAGGGGATATTGGTCGATCCAGCAAAGATCGAGGCGGTGATGAGTTGGGAGGTGCCGATGTCACCTACCGAGATCAGAAGTTTCCTTGGGTTGGCTGGTTATTATCGGAGATTTATCAGGGATTTCTCTAAGATTGTCGTGCTACTCACCAAGTTGACCCGGAAGGGTGTTGCTTTTTCATGGGGTCTGGAGCAGCAGACCTCATTTGAGACACTTTACCAAAGATTGTGCGAAGCTCCGGTGCTCGCACTCCCTGAAGGGATGGAGGATTTTATGGTGTACTATGATGCATCAATATCAGGGTTGGGAGCGGTGCTTATGCATAGGGGGCATGTGATAGCATATGCATCGAGTCAGCTGAAACTTCATGAGTCGAGGTATCCCACCCACGATCTGGAGTTGGGGGAAGTGGTGTTCTCCCTCAAGATCTGGCGTCACTATCTGTATGGGGTTCAGTGTACCATATACACGGATCACAAAAGTTTGAAGTACCTAATGGATCAGCCTAACCTAAATATGCGCCAGAGGAGATGGTTGGATGTGGTAAAGGATTACGACTGCGAGATCCTGTACCACCCGGGCAAGGCTAATGTTGTAGTCGATGCCCTGAGTCGTAGGGCGGAGGGTGCCCCGATACGAGATGTTTGCATGAGATTGACAGTGATGACTCCAGTGTGGGACACCATTCGAGGGGCCCAGACGGAGGTCGTGAAACCAGAGAACTGCAAAAGAGAGCGAGTGATCGGGTAGGTATCGGAGTTCGTTACCGATAGTCGAGGACTTATGAGCTTTCAGGATCGAGTTTGGGTACCATTTGTGGGCGGAACGCGTACCATCTTGATGGAGGAGGCGCATAGATCGAAGTTCTCGATCCACCCCGAGGCTAATAAGATGTATTTGGACCTGAAGAGGGAGTATTGGTGGCGCTGTATGAAGAGAGATGTCGCATGGTTCGTAGAGAGGTGCTTGACCTGTCGCAAGGTTAAGGCCGAGCACCAACGTCCGTATGGTAAGTTGCAGCCGTTAGAGATTCCCGAGTGGAAGTGGGAACATATTACCTTGGATTTTATCACCAAATTGTCGAGGACTGCTAGGGGTGTCGATGCAATTTGGGTGATTATGGACAGGTTGACAAAGAGCGCTCACTTCCTTACCATCAGTAAGAGCTCTTCCGCGGAGAGGCTGGCAGAGTTGTACGTTAGGGAGGTGGTATCGAGGCATGGAGTACCGACCTCGATCGTCTCAGATCGAGATGTGCATTTCACTTCCAGATTTTGGAAGAAATTTCATGAGGAATTGGGTACGAGGCTGCATTTTAGTACCACATACCACCCACAGACTGACAGATAGAGTGAACGAACGATTCCGACGCTCGAGGGCATGCTCCGGGAATGTGTACTGGATTTCGGCAGGAGTTGGGACACGTATTTGCCCTTGGCTGAGTTTCCTATAACAACAGCCATCATTCAAGCACTGGTATGCCACCCTTTGAGCTGTTGTATGGAAAGAGGTGTCGGACCCCCATTTGTTGGGGTGAGGTAGGGTAATGTGTGATGGGTAGCACAGAGATAGTGCTTCAGACGACAGAGTAGATACAACTAGTCAGATAGAGGTTATTGATCGCTCAAAGTCGCCAGAAGAGTTACGCGGATAGGCGTCGATCGGAGCTCGAGTTTCATGTTGGGGATCTTGTGCTCCTGAAGGTGTCTCCTTGGAAAGGAGTGATCCGTTTCAGGAAGAGGGGAAAGCTGGGGCCCCAGTATATTAGGTCGTTTAGGGTGATCGCAAGAGTGGGCAGGGTAGCTTACAGGTTGGAGCTACATGCGGAGTTAGGTTAGAGTCATGACACCTTCCATGTATCGCAGTTGAGGAAGTGTATGGCCGATGAGTCGGTGGTGGTATCGTTAGAGGATATCCAGGTGGATGCGAGCCTGAACTACGTTGAGAGACTGGTTGCGATTATGAATCGGAAGATCAAGGTTTTGAGGAACAAGGAAGTTCCCCTGGTGTAGGTCTAGTGGCAACATCGAAAAGTGTCCGAGCTGACTTGGAAGCCGGAGCGAGAGATGCGTGAGCAGCATCCAGAATTGTTCGCGGAATAAGTCTTCGAGGACGAAGTCTGATTCTAGTGGGGGAGAATTGTAACATCCGGAACTCCCAAGTATATTATGTTATGCTTTCATATTGAGTTTTTGGAGAGAGACTCAGCGAGTAGGCGCTCAGACTCGCCGAGTAGGATCGCGGACGATCGAACTGGTTTAATGGTGGATTCGGCGAGTCCATTCGTGGACTCGGCGATTCCACGCTTTTAATGAAACCCTAATCCCCGAGGTTTGGGACCTATTTAAAGGGGCTTATAGCCACCATTTGCGGCTACCAGACCCCCGAGAGGAACCCTAAGAGATCCAGAGCATTTGTGAGGAAGAAGAGGTCATTTTTGATCTTTGTGTGGGTGTTTTTGCAAGAAGAAGGTGGCCAAGGCAAGAGGAAACTAAAGTGGGTGATATCATGTGGATTTCAGAGGCTAGGGACTTCATTTTGAGGTATATACTTTGATCCTTCTTCTGTTTGGTGTTAATCTTTGAGAGTTAGGATTTCTAGCCCCTTTAGAGTATGGATTGTGGTGCAATTGGTACCTTCTTGTGTTGAGACTTTGAATCTGGATTCAAAGTGGTCCAGAGACCTTAACTCCTCGATCTTTATGAGTGTAATTGGGAGATAAGAGCTTGGGATGGCATATTGGGGCCATTTCTTCAAATAAAGCCATTAGGTCTTTGCATGGGCATCAAGATCCAAACTTTACGTGTTTATTTTGCTCAAGGAGGCTAGATCTAGGGGTTAGAGGAACGAATCTGACCTCAGAAGGTCATTTGAGTTTGAGCATGGCTTGAACTCGCCGAGTCCAAGAACAAACTCGACGAGTAGGATGGGTTTCCCCCATAAATCACACAGATGGTAACTTGCTGAGTTGTGGAAGTGACTCAGTGAGTCATTTGGGGTTTTGAGGACGTGAGTTCATGACTGAACCCGTCGAGTCACAATTGTGCACTCGCGCGAGTTTGGTCAAAAGGTTGACCGTTGACTTTTGTTTACTTTTAGGGTTTGGTCAACTTTAGAGTATTTGAGCCTTGAGAGGGGTAAAAATGGTATTTTACCCTCCTAAGAGTGCTAAGAGAGGGAATGGTCTAGCCTTGGGAATTGTGTTGATGCCGAGTGTTTATTTTCGTATGATTAGGCGGAGGCTAGATTGTATTTCACGAAGTCCGAGATTTTCGAGTTACCGAGTTACATGAGGTGAGTCTTCTCACTATACGTTACATAGAGTGGTATTATGAATTGACCGGAAGGTCTTATGTGCTATGTATGATATTGTGTGCCATGTATGAGATTATGTGATATGTAATATATGTATGTTATATGATGGTATAGACCGGACCGGAGGGTCCAACGATTTAGATCGGGCCAGAGGGCCCAAAGAGCTACGGGACTGGAGGGTCGTACAGTAGCCTCGAGTGGTGTATGTGTTGTATGTGGTATATTTGGGAAGTCACTAAGCATTTATGCTTATAGTTGTTGTGTTATGTGTTTCAGGTACTAGCGAGGACCGTGGAAAGGCGTCGGCGTGACTCGTACACATAGAGAGGAGATTTGATTTATGATCTTGGGATATGTTTGATTTGATAACTATTGTGGAATACTTTTTTTAGAATGTTTTTATATTTAAAATTTGGTTGTTGAAAAATAAAAAATTTGTTTTGAAAATCTCGTCGTTACAGAACCACCTTCCTTTATGGCTACAACCCTTTCCACCTCCTTCATCGAAGATAACATGTTTTCAAAATTTTGGGGATATTTATGAAGATTAAACTTAGAAACGAAGATAGCGTGGAATGTATAGAAAATGAGTATTTAGGGACATGTGGCAACTAATAGTCTCGACTAACCATCGAGTCATTGGTGACTAAAATAATTAGTTGACAGTTGACAAGACAATGTAACTTTCAAAAATGGGTAAATGTACGAAATTAACTGGTAAAACACAAGCTTGCACCATTCAAAGGCAAAAAAAAATCAGGAGAGACCATTTAAACTAATTACTAAACATTGATGGGCTACATTGATAAGAACACATAGCAAATGAGAAGCTTATATAATACAAAGGATTAAAATGACACATAGGATTAACATTTAAAAATGGACATTTCTATAAGAGTTTTTTGATAATTTTTTGTTGTGCAAATAAATTTTTTATATATTCTATATTTATTTAAATTGAGTCCGGTGTATTTTATCAATTAAATAACAATAACAATAATGAAATAAAATACATATTAACAAATACATAACAAATATAAATAAATATAAATATATAAAATGTTGATGTCATTAATCCTTTTCATATACATGTTTGATTTTCAATTGAGTTTCAATCCCGCTCAAACCCTTCACTATCTCTCATCTCTCTCGCTACAGTTGGTAACTCCATTTCTCTCTAGATTCATCTCATCTAATCCACACCGTTGCTGGTTCCATTTTGCTGTCTTCCTCCACTCTCAACGATCCAATCCATTGATTCACGACGGCATGACCGTTTTCCCCCTTTCTTTCTCACTCTAGCAACATCAATTTTGAAAACCCTAGAAAATATTTTGCTGTACATTCATGGATAATTTCCACATATACGAAGCCATCGGCCAAGGAAAATACTCCGTACTGAGTTCTATATCTCTACTGTTATGTATATTCTTCTACCATTTTGTTTCAGTTCAGTAATCGAATTGTGTGCTATGGTTTGCAGACTGTATATAAAGGGAGGAAGAAGAAAAGCGTTGAATACTTCGCAATCAAAAGCGTTGATAAATCTCATAAGAGCAAGGTTCTTCAGGAAGTAAGTTAACTGTTTTACTTACGTATTCGAAATCGAATGTTTTAGGAGGATATCGTAATTCAATTTCAGATCCATATGAATATTCTCTCCTTACGGTGATAATGCGACATAGGATCTACCATACTTGCATAGTTTTCTTTCGTTATTCAAAATTTCAAGCTAAGCTTACTATTGGAGGGTCTGGATATCCATCTAAATTGATCATTGCGATAATCAGTTTGGATCGTTTGACAAAGAGCGATTATAGTTTTGAGGATTTAGGTCAAAATAAGCAGATTTTGGATTGTAAACTTACCCAAAAAACCTTGACATTAATCAACTTACTACTGGTATTCAAGTCATAAAATCACTTCGAAAATGCAAATCCCAACACCTCTCATTTCTTCATTTTTAAATATTGTAGATCGTAATTGATTTTAGTATATGGGGTTCTCTTATGTTGTATTATTGAAGTGTGTTTAGGATTCTGTTCTGTTAAGCACGTCACTGTACTGTTACATTCCTTATTGATTACAATTTAACAAAAAAGTTAATCTTTCACATACTTGCACATCCACAGTCATTCTCAATTACATGTTTTTTTGTCCAATTCTAATCAAATTAAGTAACATGAATGGTTGATTTGGGGACAAGAGTCTGAGGGTAAGAACAATTTGATAGAGAAAATGTTAATGTTTTAATTGCTGTTGATGATTTGTGCTGCAGGTTAGAATTCTTCACTCTTTGGATCATTCTAATGTACTCAAATTTTATGCTTGGTAAGCCAAACCCAACATTTTCAAATTTTTATTATATAAATGTTTTTGAGTTTCTAGTGTCTGTGACACTTTGAATTATCATTGTGGTTATATATCTTTGTCTTAGATGAATTGTTTATACATCAGACCATGTATTTTTTATTGTTTTGAAATAGGTATGAGACTTCTGCTCATTTGTGGTTGATTTTAGAATACTGTGTTGGTGGTGACCTCCGGACATTACTGGAGCAGGTATGGACAAATCTTTATGTTTTTCATGCAAGAAAAAATCACCGGAATGAATGAAACAAAAATAACAAATTCAACAAACTCAAAATTGAGTAAAAGTGTGCTTGTTCTTTCTTAACCCGGGATGTACCTTTTTTAGAAAGAAAAGAGTTATATACATTTGGGTTTAATAAATCAAAAGGAAACAAAGGAAACCCACATGTTTTATCAGTTACTAAAGGTTTCAAATTGTTTACTAGTGTTATACTCAATTAAGATTGAAATTAGCACAAAGTCATTTTCATCATCTTAGTAAAGGAATAAATCATATGAAAGTTAGTTTAATTGTTTTAATACATATTTTGGAGCTAGTAACACTTGTTAATCAACCAACATGGATTGTTACATTACAGGACAATAAACTTCCAGAAGATTCTGTACATGATCTTGCACGTGATCTTGTTAGAGGTTTAAGGTAAAACAATTTCTCTTTTTAAAACATAATAATACATGATTCTAGAGTTTGTATCATCTGACGCTGTTCTCAAATCAATGTAATAATCAGTTATCTACACTCCAAGGGAATCATCTACTGTGACTTGAAACCATCAAACATTTTATTAGATGAAAATGGTCGTACAAAGGTAATTTTTTTTGCAGTATTTATGATTCTCTCATTGCTTTTTATATACCAACATGTTTCTCAATGGTTGATATGTATGATGTATTGCAGCTTTGTGATTTTGGGTTATCCAGAAAATTGAGCGACATATCTAAAACACCTTCTTCCCTTGTAAGTGTTCCTAACAATTTGCACTCTTTTTGGTTTTTCAGTGTCATTATCTTGAATATTTTTAATTATATAACACTTTTTTTTTTTTTTTTCTCAATATTGTTTAGCTACCACAAGCAAAGAGGGGCACTCCATGCTACATGGCTCCTGAGTTGTTCCATGATGGTGGAGTGCATTCATATGCTTCTGATTTATGGGCACTTGGTTGTGTTCTGTATGAATGTTATTCTGGTAGACCACCTTTCATTGGGAAGGAATTCACACAATTAGTAAAATCAATCCTCACTGATCCAACTCCATCTCTCCCAGGCAATCCCAGCCGTACATTTGCTAATCTTGTCAGTTCTCTTTTAATCAAAGATCCCACTGATCGAATCCAATGGTCAGAAATCACCACTCATGCCTACTGGAGAACACACCTTAGTCCAGTCTCTTTACCTCCTCAACCTGCTTTCGATAACATGATACAGCTTTCTTATAAGCCTTCTTGCCTCACAGAACGAGAACGCAATCTTCAAAACAAAACCCCACCAAGAAACCGCGATAACTCTTCTAAACTCAATGAAACACCCAAAAACCGGAAGATTCAATCCAAGCAGAAAGATGTTTCGAGTAATACAAAGGGTGTGAATCTGTTACGCCTTTCCAGGATAGCAAAATCGAATTTACAGAGGGAAAACGAGAAGGAGAATTACCGTAGGCCATTGCCGAATAACTCTGAACATGACACCGATGTTAAAATTGAAAACACGGATATGGAGCTTGATTTTAACGAGAATACAGAGGACGATACACAAGACGAGAACGAACTTCCTGCTACGCCTAGTCGTAACCTTACCGTTGATGAGAATTTATCAACGCCAGATCCGGAAGAGAGAATAATACATGAAATTGATGCGTCACCTTTGATTAACACAGACGAATCAAGAAGAACTGATCATGAATCGGAATCCTCAGTGCCTGCGACTCCACCGACTGCTTCACCTCAGCCCAAAACTCAAAGAATAATCGAAGATTCAGGTGGTGTGGTTAGCCTATCACAGGTGGTTTGGCATTCATCTGACCTATCGGTGCGACCTGTGATGCCGAGTAAAAAGTCCGACAAACAGTCAGATGTCCTCCCGTCTCTTCCGTTTGACGCGATTCCAGCTTCCGATCTCGTGAAATTACCAAAAGACCAGTTAGATGTCGTCACCAAATCAATCGTAACTATCCTAAATGGAAACACCACGATCGGTGAGAAGCAGAACGTGATTAGATACCTTGAGATGTTAAGCACAAATGTCGAAGCTGCCAATATTTTGACAAACGGATCAATAATGCCGGTTCTTGTGAAAATGCTCCGGCAATCAAAGGCTTCTGCTTTGCGTGTTCAGCTTGCTTCACTTCTTGGCTTGCTAATACGCCATTCTACTTATATCGAGGATGAATTGTCGAATTCTGGTATATTGGGTGCGTTGAATGAAGGTTTGGTAGATAGGCAAGAAAAGGTTAGAAGATTCTCCATGGCTGCTTTGGGGGAGTTGTTGTTTTACATATCTACTCAAAACGACCAATCCAAACCAACAATCCCGCCGGAAAGCCCGTCTAAGGAAACCAAATCCTCATCAGGGTGGCAGGTCAATTTTCTTCACAATTGTTACGATCAAACAACAAACTTGCAATTAATTGTATATAATAGTATAATCCACTTTATTCCTTTTATTTGTATATTGATTTGCAGGTGCCGAGTACATTGATTTCACTGGTGACGTCACTTTTACGTAAGGGAGAAGACGACATAACTCAGCTTTACGCATTACGAACTATAGAAAATATCTCAAGTCAAGGAGGCTACTGGTCAACTCGTTTCACCAGCGCAGACGTTATCAATAACCTCTGCTACATATTCCGAGCTTCCGGAAAACAAGAAGCCATCCGACTCACTGCCGGATCATGTTTAGTGCGATTAGTCCGTTTTACCCCTCCCACCATCCAGCAAGTAATGGAAAAACTCACATTCAAAGAAATGGCCGGAGCCATCTCAAAAGGAAACCCTAAAGAACAACAAATCTGCTTAAACCTTCTAAACATGGCGGTGCTTGGCGGCAATTTCTTCCCTAACATCGGCCGCCACCTTCTCCCGCTGGTGGAGGACAAAAATTTAGTCCCGAATCTTATCTCGTTGATTGAACACGGCGGTGAGGTTTTGAGAGGGAAAACCCTAGTTTTTGTGACGTTGCTTTGTAAGAACAGGAAGCGGTGGTTAGGGCAGTTTTTCTTGAACGGGAAATTAATGTCGACTGTGGATAGGCTGGTGGTGAAGGAGAAGGGCGTTTATTTGCAGCAGTGTTTGGAGGCGTTTTTGTTTGGTGTGGTGGCTGTGATTCCGGGGTTACTTGAGACTGTAATTTCCGATGTTCAGCAACTGATGGGAGGGGGAGGTGGAGGGAGACGTCATACGCTGGTTACTGCTTTGACTGGTAGAGCTTCTTCAAAGACCAATCTTCAACTTTTTTCTGTTGTTCTAAATCTGCTTGGTAGTTCTTCTTTTAAACATAAAGTCGTGAATGCGGAGGTTCTTCAGCAACTTAAAGTTTTAATCAAATTGGTGGAATCGCCGTTTCAGGTAAACACGGTAACCAATTGTTTTGTTATTGTGGGATTTGATGGAATTGGAATTCAATTCCATTCCATTCCAGTCCGGTTTCTCGCTGTTAACACACTATACATAGCCAAGATTAGACTTAAATTCCTTCAATCCTTCCCTAGGAATTTGAAAATATTTCTACAGAATTAAACTTTGTACATTTGACGGAATGGAATCTTAAATTCTAATTCCGTTGGTACCCTTAAAAGATTCCAATTCCTTCCAGATTTTTTTTTGAACAAACCACCTTCTTCTGAAAGTTCTGTTTATTATAAATAATTAAATATATATAATTGGTTTTCTGGTTGCATTTATTTAAATATATTATATATAAACCGAAGGGTATTTTGGTCTTTTTATCAAAAAGCATATATTGAAATTGTACTTCCACTAGCCTTCTCTAGGATGGCGAAATCCATGGAACATGTAATTTGAAGAATTCAAACGAGAGTTGACTTCTGATTTTATTTATTTTTGAATATATATATATATATATATATATATATATATATATATATATATATATATATATATATATATATATATATATATATATATATATATATATAAAGTAGGAATGTTGTTTTCCGAATCCAGATAAGATGTAAACATTTGATATATGATTGGATTTTTCAGGGAAGGGATGATTTCCTGATAACCCTTTTAAGGGTACTTGAAACAGTGACAGAAGAAGCCTCTTTCATTGAGGAAAACCACTCGGATTTTGTCCATGAAATACTTCCAAGTCTCTCCATTGTTTGCAAAGCAAGCAAAGATGGAGACGCAAGATTCTTATGCTTGAAGATATGGTTTGAAGTGGTGGTGAGTTTGTTAAACGAATCATCATCATCATCATCATCATCATCATCTCATGATAACAATGGAAAAAGAGAGGAATTGAAACAAATATGCCATCATCATTTCCTCCCTCTGTATCCACAGCTAATGGAAGATGAAGATCCAATTCCGATATATGCACAAAAACTAGTCGAGATGCTGGTAGAATTCAAGATCATCACACAGCAATGAATCTTCTTCTTTTTGGATTTATCTTCCAAATGATTTGTATGCTATATACGTTGTGCACACTCAATTGTTTTCTCAACACAAAGAAACTCTATGCTTATGTTCATTTCAATTGTACCTCTAGTTGTGCCCCATCAATGTTATCACTATGAGTTTTGATGAAACTACATTAGTCTATACTTATAGTAAATAATGGAGATTGAGCAAATCAGTTTTAATCAAATAACTTTTTTTTAGTAAAGATTCAAAATGATTGTTATAGATTTGCTCTTTCCAGGCTGTTTACCTTTTAAATAGACTAATCTTAAGGGACGTGTTTTTTAAACCTTAATGTGTGTAATTTTAAGGAAACGAATTATTTTTAATGTTTTTAAAACGTCCACTTTCACACTTTATTAGACCATATGGTATACTAAGCACGAGACCATTTGTGGTATAGGTGGCCACAAACAACAATTGTGCACACTGTCCTGGTGTGTCATTGTTGTAAGTTGTGGTCGTGTTTTGTGATGGCTACGACGAGAGTGGATGACCAATGAGAATTTGGTTTGCCAATTCGACTGTTAAACTATCATATATATATATATATATATATATATATATATATATATATATATATATATATATATATATATATATATATATATACTAATTACCTATATAAACATAATACATAACCTTCATTAATTTTACACTCTATCTCTAAAACAAAAAGACATGAATTTCTTTAAGAAATTTGATTCGGATAATGATGGAGAATTCATCTCGATTTTCTTCAATGTTATGTAACACATTCACAATGAAGAAAGTTCGAATGTTATGAGTTCAAGAGTGGTTGTCAATCGTGTTCGCCAAGCCGTACACGACTTATTGGTATGTGATTATTTTGCCGGTAATTATCTTTACAGTGATGACTCGTTCAAGCGTCGTCCCGTCGAAATAAAGCTATATTTTTACGTATTAGTAATACTTTAGAGGCCCATTATGAATTTTTTAAACAAAACCCGACGATAAAGGAATAATAAGTTTTTCTAGTATACAAAAATATGCGGCTGCATTTAAGTATTTGGGATACGATATAACATTTGATGCATGTTTCTCTCTTTATTGAATGAAAAACTAATTAAAAGATTTTCTATGTTGTTTTTTGTATTTAAAAATTGTTTTTATTGTATTTTTGAATTAAAAAAATAAAAAAATGATGTGGAGTGAAAAGTTGTCAACATCAGGATGATCCTTTTCTCGAAGGAATATCTAATTACTTTGGTCAAGTGAAAAGTTTTCGGTAACAACGTATAGTCTGTGATTCTATTCTAGTAATAAAAAGTTGAGTAGTCAATTTGGGAGACAAATGGAATGGAATTAACAATGATTCAATATGGCGGTCTATCAGGGAGTCAGACCAATTCGAGATTTCAGATTTCAGGTTGAGTAGATGTGATTATTCTGCATTGGATTGTTTTAGGCTGAGAAAGGATTCGTTTATCTTCAGGTTTGGAGAGCCCTGCTAGAGTTAGTTTCGGTTCCCTTTGGGAAGAGTGTTGTATGCTAGAGGTTGTGGCCGTGTTGCTCAGGATGTCTGGCGTGCCTGGGATGGTAATGAATGATTTCGATGACGAAATCTAATTTAAGTGGGGGAGAGTTGTAACGCCTTGTTCCGAATTGTTTCTTAATGCGGGGCAATAACCCGAAGATCGGGTATCATAGGGCCTAGGGCCTTTGAGGAAAAAAGATTAGATCCATTTGGAAGTGGGTAATGTGATTTAGATGATCCGACAGTTCGGTTGGTGTTTTTGAGCCAATGGGTATTTTTCGTAAAGTGTCAGATCGGGATTTTATGTGAATTGGAGTTTTGCCGAGAAAATTGAAGGCAAGTATGAGTTGATAGAAGTGTAGAGCTTCTTGTTACTTCTTTGTGGATATAAGGATCGTCGGAAATAGACTTATAACGAATAAGTTATGGCCTTCGAAAGGTTGCAGTGTTTTAGGCTAACCTAAGTACGTATGGCATACATAGGGAGTACGCGGGGCGTATTGGTGCTAGGGTCAGTATGTGGGGGTTACCTCGGTGTACGCTGGATGTACAAAGAAGAAGGATGGCGACTCTGAGAGGAGTACGCTAAGCGTAATGAGAGTACGCGGGGCGTACTCCAAATTCATGCAAACCCTATTTTAGGGCCTTGGACCTTATTTAAGCTCATTTTCTCTTCACCAAACCCTAATACTTTCAGCCACCATCCCTTTCTACCCTAGAATTGAACCCTAAGTGTAATTTGGTGATTTTGAGCTTGGTAAGTGCTTGATGGGTGTTTTGTGAAGACGAAGAAGAAGAGAATCATTCGGAGGTGTGGCTAGAGCTTCTAGATCCATGAGTATATTTTCATTTGCAAGCTTCCTAAGGTAAAAAGCTTTAACCTTGATGATCTTTTTGGTTGGAGCTACTTTATGGAGTTCTTCGGCATTTTTGAGTCCCTTGATGTAAAGGTGAGCTTTTGATCTACTCCAAAAATAATGGATGTTAGATTTAAGCTCCAATAAGGTCCATTGTTCATAAAAATGGAAACTTTATGAAAGATTTTGGTCCATGCTGATGGGTTTTGGTCATAAGACATACTATGTGCTCATACAAACCCTAATGCTTGGATCTAGGTTTCTCTATTGTACATGCTTTGAATCCAAGACTATAAACCCTAATTCTAGCATATGGAAATCGATATTAACATATAATTAGGTTTAAGATATTACCTTGATTGTTATGTAGCAATAACAATCCCAATTCCTCCTTGAATTGACTTTGGAATGCTTAGAGTCACAAGTGTTATTCCTCTAATGGCTTACAAACACCAAGAGCAAATGGAGAAGGTATAAAGAGAGAGGAGAGAGGTAGGAATTCGTCCTTAGGAATTCTTGGGAAGGCTTAGACGAATTCATGAGCCTTAGGGGGTTTATATAGGTGTAAAGATTAGGGTTTTAGTCCTTATCCTTATCTAGTTGCTTGCCCACCAAGTAACCATAAGATAAGTCTTAGAAACCCTTATCCTAGTCGAATTCTAAGGCATTATCTCCTTAAATTCGTTCACCCTATATTTAAGATAATCCTTACCTTATTTTGTAACTATCACATAATTACAAATCAGCCCCTCTAGTTTAATTAATTACACTTGATCACAAAATTAATTCCTAATTAATTCTTGACCAATATTAATTAAAAAAATATGATTTTTCCTTTAATATATTATTCTTATAACATATTAATAAATCATAATAACCTCTCTCTCTTTATTTATTTCTCCAATCAAGTTGCTTTGGTGAAGGCAACCCAAAAGGACCATGCACCATCGGGTCAAGTACATACCAAAATAGTTATGGACTTAGAGACTAATCCAAAACATGCATGTATTAAGCTCTTATTAAGTTCCTTTTTAAGTGTTGTGTCCCATTAAGACGTGTTTGTGAGTAAAGTTGGAAACTTTATTGGTTAAGACCTTGGCTAGGGACCAGATCTATATTTTGAACATCTTGACTTAACCCGTTAAGAACAAATATGAGTTTTTGATTCCTGACTAGTACATTGGGAATACGAGGAGGTACACTCAACGTAATGCGAGGATCATGCATCAAGCAGTTCTACTTTCTGCATCGTGGTCAATTACGTTGGGCGTACATCTCGAGTATGCTGGGCGTACTCCCAAGATGGTCATTTTGGGCTTTTGAGGTTTGGGTCATTGCTGGGTTTTCTTAGTTTGGGCCTTTTTGTGCCACTAGACTTCTTTTTAGGGCTTCTAGTTTATACCTTTTGGGCTCATTTGGATTTTAGGCCTGTAAAGGGTTTTGGGGGTCCAATTTGGAAAATTGGGCCTCAGCTAATTATGTTGGAATTTGGGCCTTTGGACAATTGGACTTGGGCCTTAGGCTAAGTATAGGGAAGGGTAAAAAGGTCTTTTACCCTAGTTTGGACTCGTAGGGTGAGTCAGGATCCAATTATTGATTGGATGTTTATTTTGTGATTGAGAGTGCAGAGATTTTAACGGGCTAGCAACCATAGCCTCTTTCTATGAGATTCGATAGTGCGAGGTGAGTTTTATCACTATGTCCATGGGTCGAAGGCACCAATGCCGACCCATTATTTGTTATGCGGAATGCTAGTTATCTTTATGATACTTGTCCGGAAGACCCTGAGGGTAGCCCGTGACATTTGTATGAAAGACCATGGGGGTAGCCGAAGGTACTTGGACTTCAGACAATAAGGGCAGCCCATGACATTTAAAAGGAAAAACCATGGGTGTATCCAATGACACTTGGATGTCAGACCATGGGGGTATCCCATAACATTTCTGGGAAAAGACCATGGGGGTAGCCTATGACAAATTTATGTTTGGTATGTGGTGTTTTGGGAAACTCCTTAAGTTTTGTGCCCACAATTTTCAGTTTATGTTTCATGTATTTCTGTTTTCAAGTGAAGATTCTTGGATGATTGCAGAGCACACACCACATCGTCCTGCATTTTTTTGATCTACTCTGATGTGATATGATGATTGATACATTTGTTTTATCTGGATTTTTCTGATGATATTTTGGGATACTGGTTTTATTAATTTAAAAATGAAATTTTTGGGACTTAATTTTGGGACGTTACATTATTGTAAGACTAATTTGGTTGTTAGGTTGTATGAATTTTATTTCAATGTTTTAAGACTAGAATTATTAAATTTTCGGTATTGATTATTTTTTGGTTTATTAAATCAGTTTATTTTAATTTTTTTAATATTTACAGCAGCCTGCAGATGTTAAAAAACAAACATGCTTCTTATTACAGTCTGCATCCGTTTGGTCTACCTCTTCTGTTGCAAAGGGTTGCAGAGGTGGTCTGCAGACTTTATGAATTTTTGCTTCGAAAAAAATAAACAACACTTTAGTCTCTCAATTAAATACAAAAATAAAGCTATTAAAAATTAGCCATCAAAGTAAGGTTACACCTTTATTTTGCTTAATCATGTTTGAGTGTAACACCTATAAAAATCATGCCAAATTTAAACTTTTTAAAACATTTAAAACCAACAGTCATTACAAATTTGTTTTCAAAATAATCTATATCAGAGTCTCCCAGAAACAAAGTCATAAAAAGTGAGTAACGATACGATCACGCCTTTGCCTTGCCGCAGTACCCTAATGTACCTGAAACAAAAACTAATATTGTAAGTCCG